CATGAAAACATAGTAGATAGAAGGGTTCTTTGTGCCTAATTGCATTTAGTACCTCATTCCGGTCCGATTGATACCAAATTTGTGATACTTCAAAAAATGAATGAATTGGCCGAAAATCCTGAAATGACGAGTTTTGCGGTTTTTAGGATCTCGAAATGCAGGTTTTCATTGGTTGTTCGGAATATTTCTTGGATACTCTCGTTCTGACGGCCAAAGCCATCTTAAAACCGTTCTGAGCTTTTCGAAATATTTATCTTAAGCATTGTGTTGCGTCTGTTTTATGTTGCGTTTAATTGTTTGTTTTATGATGCGTAATATGTTGAATTGTTTTTTTTTGTTGTTGTTCAATTGCGTTGTTGTGTGCTGTGTAAAAGATTTTTTATTATCTACGTAATATGATAAATATTTGTAAAGAATACATTCATTGGACAGCACAACGTCATGAAATTTACGGTTATAACATTGATGACCGTTGATTAATAAAATGAAGCTAACAGATTTTCCGTAAATGTAACAATACGGAGGAGACACGCACATTGGATATGCTCACTGAGTCGAGGCGAGCAAATACGTAATTGGGCTGGGTTTTGATATAACGTCGACATTCGATGGTATTACAAATTTATCAAAAAAATTGACAAAACGTTTGTGGAATCGAAGAATTTATTTAAAAAGTTGAAAGCATTCTAACATTGTTTGGTATCACAGTGTGGATACGATAAAAAGTATTACAGTTAAACATTCAAAATGAAACAACATAAAGAAAGCACAGAGATAAGTGTGGCAACGGTTGGATCAAACTCAGTGATTGCTAACAATGAAAATGCTTGAAGTGAATGGATTTAAGATCGTTAAACGTGGTCGAGACAAGATTCGTATTAATGGTTCGTTTTATGAACTGTAGTGTTTTAATGAATGTCACAATTGAGAAGAGATGCAAAGAAGTGTCACAAGTGATAATGAGTGATATCGGAGAGATATATACGTATTCAAGGGTACTTTCAATTGATGATTATTGCCTGGTGGTGAGGCAGAATAAATGAGTTTCGATGGATGAATTGAATCCGTCACTTATGCGCTACACCAACAATTTCGAGTATGAGCCATTCTTATTTCTTCAAGAATCATTAATAGCGATGATAATGAACAACTGCGCTATTGAATCAAATACGACATATGAAGTGATCAATTGATCAATCATTTGTTGACGTTAAGCATTTTTCTTCGCATCATTCAAAAAATCAACGAATCGTCTTTTGTTGGTGATTCCACGATAAATTTTTTGATGGCTAAATTAAATGAAACCATTTCTGATTATTCCTCATTCAATCATATCAATTGGAAATGACACTAATTAGTGAAGAATTAATGATAAGCAAATGCCTTTTGTGCTATTGTATTTATGCTCTCCACATTCTATCAAGCAATATGTTTCTGCTGAAACTCTTGGCAGGATTTAGCGCAATAAAAATGCTTAAAAATTTGTGGATTTGCTTCTTTTTTCTGAATACTAACTGCGCGATAAGTTCAGCCTCTACCATTATAACTTTTATAGTCCTGGACTCCAACTGGTTGCCTGATGGTGAGGCAGAATTGTTGGGTGTATCGATAAGATCAGACTTTTCCCAACCAGTTTCAGGTTCCCAAACGAATGACCTAAATGTCCTAGTCAGTTGGTCTTTTGAGTCCTCCTCAGCCATGCAGCTTCGTTCAATTTGAATGCGCACTTACTCGTGTCGATAAATCGCTAGGACCATCATCACAACTTCGATGACCACCACACACCAGATAAGCACAATCAGCCATCTAATACCCGGATACACTGAAACGCAATGAGTTGACGCTTCAACACGATCCAGTTATTCATTCAGTAAATAATTACAGCAAATTACGAGTGTATGCCTCTCTATTGTTATGCATAGCATTACTATCACATCCTTCCTCTTTCTCACAAGGGAAGTTGATGAACTGAACCCAGCGTCTCAAGATGAGATATACATCAAACTGTAGAACTCATCGAGTCAGTACGATCACTCTCAATAAGATGTTTCCAGGACATAAATATTTATTTTAAATGCTACCACTACGTTTCATCACAAAAGCGAAGACTATTAGCAATAGTAATGCCCTGAGAAAGGACCTGAGAAAATGAAAACTAAGTATTAGCGCCCAATCAAAGCACCTTCCTCGCAGTTCAGTCCTCTTGTCTTGTATAGACATAGACAACTATAGTGCGGTATCCCGGTACCATCATCCACTTCCACACATTTTCCGCCATTTTCGCAAATCTTACCACTGCTACAGTTCCAATATTCTGCAAGCCATCATTTCTAGGTTTGTTCATAACCGAACAGATAACATAAATGCCTAAACGATGACAAAGCTTTGGACAATACGTCCACTCAATCGCAATTCAGTGATCATTCCAAATGTTTGATCGAACTATGTGATCATATCTATTCGGCTAGACTTGATGATTGAAGGGATATCATTAAATAAACGCATCGAAAATAAACTAAACCGATGTGCTACAAATAGGTAAGGAATGAATCCAGATTCAAACTCAAACACTAAGCTTATGTTAATAATTCGTCGTATATTACCGATGCAGTATTCCTTCCGATGTAGCTTCCCATTGACACTTGACAGGATCGTTATTACTGTGTGTTCATAAAAAAATCTGATATGCGTTGTTCCATTAACACCATATGCGAGCAAGCTGAACGAATAAAGAACTCGTTAGGAATAGTGCGGAATGTAAGGAGGAAGCATTATACTTTCGTCTCGAGATTTTGAATTATTTTCCATTCAAAGCATTTCCGTACTTTAAAACTGGCTTCTGAATTCGCTTCCGAATCGATACCAGTAAAAATCAGTTACTTATCACATACTAAGAACCCACTCCATCGTTTCGCTCTCCGTTGGTATCCGAACCATATGATCTGCTGATTGAGGTTTGAAAATGAATGGTCGATCTGGACGAATGCGTAGAATCTCGTGTGTTGAACGACATGGAGGGAGAGGATTCGACAACTCCACATCCTCTTCGTAATCCAATAAAGGTGATGCGATGGCGGATGCAAGATCAGTCGGCAATTCACTTGAGCGATTATTCGGTGCTGTATCATTTGAACTCACCAAACTTCCCGCCTGATTCTGACCGGAATTCTGAACTTGCGCCGGCACATTGCTCTGCAACTTATTCCCCACTTGACCAGTTGCATTGGCCAGTTTTGCTTGCAGACTGAAACTGAAAAAAATCATTTTTAATATATATTGCTCATGCCACATTAGTATAAACTTGGCTTGAAAATATAAAAATATTAGGTTAAAGTTGTCACTACTACGAATGGAAACGCACGTTCATCACAAAAAACTCTTCTGAAACGCCTACTACAAGACCATCCATTACCACCATATAAGAGCATTTCCGAACAAATCTCGAACTGTCCAAGTGTGGATATCATACCTCATCGTAGCAGCCAGTAGCACCACCGAAAGAGCCGCAAATCGCCCCATTATTCAATATCGAACGATGCACAATCGCTCCAAACGACCGCGCAGCCCGCAAACTTTCACGACGATAATCACCCAATCATCTACTTTCTTTACTGATGAGCTGTGGAACGAGAATGTAAATTTTCACACAAAAATTACATGCAAGAAATTGATACTGAAATTGCTTCATTCTCAGTCCATATATGTAAATGCAACTTTTGCATTAATGAGGGCAGTAAAAACACATTTCTGAAACTAGAGAATCTGGGGAAGGCAAAAGAGTGAAGAAATGACTATGTTACTCAGCGAACTCGAAGATAGCGTTAGTTTGAAGATGGCGACCTCCTAATACTGCTTAAGTAATTTGATGATTGATCAATAGAGATACAGTGTGTTAAAGTGAGCCCCGCCGAGCTACTCGAGATACCTTCAGAAAATCAGCTATTTCTTTCAAAATGAGCAAAATCACCAGACAACTCAAACACATTTCTCAAACTAGAGAAGCTGTCATCAACACATCATAAACGGTAACCTTTTCTAAGCACATAAACGTTTCAAAGCACGAAAATATTATACAACTACCCTGAAAAGGTACAAAATCCAGACATGAACACAATTTAAACTTAGGAGAAATCAACCACAGTATCCGACATTCACTTGACAATTTATTCCTTAACACCTCCAACTCATTTCATCAATCAAAAAAACCTTCGCACACTATAATCTTTCCTTCATCAAAAATTCACAAGAATACCATCTTCAAGTTAACAATACTCTCAAGTTTTCCCAGTGACATAGCAATTCCTCTACACCGTTCGATTCCGCGGGATCTCAAGATGCAGAAAAACATATATGTTGCCGAGCGATTTAGCTTTCTTGAGCAGATATAGCCATTTTTCTAAAGCCATCTCAATTAGAGCAGAGGCGCTCATTCACATTTATTTGATCACTATTGATTAATTGTATACATTATTATAGCTTCACAGGCGTTACGATCTTCAAGGTACCGGTACCCTCAGGCTTGCCCGATAACATGTGAATTTCCTTGCAGCATTCGATTGCTGAGAACCTCGACTTTCAGAAAAACATATATTTTACCGAGCA